TTATAACTGTCGTTTAATTGCGGAAAATTGCCTTCAAAACGGAATATCGTGGTGGAATTCATTATTTTTACAGTCGCGTTGGTTACAGATCGCTAGATACAGCGAGAAGCATATGACGTTTGCGTTTGCAGCTATTCCCGTCAGTCTATACAAGTAAAATTCGGCGGAAAATAGAAATCCAGCCCACTATCTGGTCACGATGAACCCTATTTACTATAACTAATAGCAGTGATTTGGACATGTCCAGTTGATATATTGCCTCAAATCGCATTACAATCCGCCCGATAAGCCATCATAACGAATGATCTCGAACTTGGGCCGGTGTGGTATGGTGTCCATACTGTTTATAGAAACGAACGTTAGATCTAATCGAACGATTTCTGAGTAATAAACAGACTTTCGTATTGTAACAACGTTCATTGCCGTGTAATATGTTGGCGAAGAAACGATTGTACAGATCGTTCTAATTTGAATAACGCGAGAATCGGCTACAGATCGACAGAAATAGCGAGAGTTGTGAGACGCGCGAGGTGAACAAAAGACGAAATTTATCGACTACAATTTATTTGGCGTCTTTTAATCTTCCATTAAAGGAGAACCTGCCGAAATTGCTTCTACATTTTAACCAACCAATATCTTTTAAGAAAGGAAAGGCCGGCGACAATCAATTGGACATTAAGAAATCTTTATTGGGCTTTTAGAGACGGTATTTTATGTGTACAGTTTAGATTTCTCATCGCAGAAGGTCGAAATATTTATTAGTAGTAGTTAGAAAAAAAAGGCGCAGGACCGGACTCGCCTCTAACGAATCATTTTCCGCGCGAAAACAACTTAACAAGTCTAATCTTAGCTACAAAATAACTAGCTTTATTCGTATGTCATGCAGTAATAACGCATAAATCCATCGAGCAGGAAAATAAAAACGCAAGCAGGACTGGTCAGTAAAAGCGAACGGTAATCCAACGAATTTGCATTCCGACTGCGATTAATTATTATTAATTAAAAACAAATCCACATAATTACTACCCACGTCTTGTGATAGCGCACAAAATTTACGATTGCATGAAAGACGCCATTAAACTTCTAACTCGTTTAATCTAACCCCGCACTGAATAATTGCTAGATGCTTCATATACAGGTTTAAAATGCACCTAGACGAATGGATGGAAATAAATAATTAGACAATAAACACATCGCCCGGGTTCATATAGATAATTATTGCGCGTTTTCATTAAAATATATTATTATCGAATGGCTGTAATTTCAGGCTAACGCCCTGTGTATGGTGATATTTCGTCGGCGTCGAATAAAAGACAGTGATAGCATGTTACGAAGCAACATATCTCCCCACACACACACAGAAGCAATACATTATCTCTTATCTTTACGACTAAAAGCTAAAGTACGTTAAAAATATTTTTCTCCTTCGTTTTATTTTGTTTTTAAAGCGGACAATTTTCGCAGAAAATTTATACCTGCATTGTGGAGATTGATGCCGCACCAAATTAGCCAGGTAGCGCTCTGTTCATTAATTTTCTATAATATCGCCTATCGATTATCGACGGCAGTTAAACGAATGTCAATTCGATGTAAAATCCGATTCGAATAGCCGAATTTACATACAAACGTTTATATATCGAAGACAATTTGAATTAATTTGAATACGATATTTTTTTAAATTTTATTATTGAGTTATAAACTCGATGAGTTGCGGCTCGGAATTTTAATAGAAGGCGTGGGGGGGATCCAATGACTTCATTTTATAGCATAAAAACAAGCGTTATGTAACGAATATTCGTAATTAAGTTGTAAAAAAAAATGTTTTATATAAACCCAGTAACACGCACGATAAAAACGTTTTGAGCATTGGTACAAGAATAAACGCGTACGCGATAGGATCGGAGCGAACACAACGGATTGAATTATAAAAGAGGATGTTTATAAATGCCGATCAGGTAGTGGAAGCGTACAGAAGAAAGCCAGGCGGGTTCACCTGTATAAAAATCCGAATATCTCGTCGTATGGTATGCGCGAGATACATATCGATGGCCCTGGCTAACAGAAGTGTCACTTAACAACATGTCTAACGGTCTCGTCCTGCCTCCCAACAACGGCCACTTCTATATTTCCATCGCGTCATTCGATATCAATCGTGATTTAATAGAAACGCCGGATTGTTACTTACGATATATCGAAAACGTGTAAAAAGTTTCCATCGTCAAACAATTTTCTTAAATACCGTTAAATGTTTTAAAACCACCAGCACTAGGATAATTTATAGTCTCGTCGACAAACCCCAATCTAATCCCGATTGGAACACACCCACTAAACCTCGGCGGTTCTCCCGAGCAGTCCGGATCTCTCGTACCGCTGAATTTGAATTTCAAATGGTTTCCGCGCGGATAATTATAAAGATATTAATCATTTTCGTATGTCCGATTCGCCTTTGATTTAGAACTGCCGGTCGAGACGGTCGTTGCATCGCACAGGTCGCTCGAAATTACGGCCAATTTTCTCACAAATTCGATCTCTATCAGCGATAGGAGGAAGAGCGATGGCTGCCGTGGTGTATTCAATTTTCCCGATTTTTACTACCAATGCTAATGGAATAGAGTAAATAAATTATAGTAATGTGTTGGATAAAATAGAGCAAATTATTGCTGGCGTGTGTGTGTGTACGTCCCTGTAGGAGACGTTGCATGAGAGACTGGAGCCGAGTGAATTCTCAAAGACATTCTTTTTTTTTGCCGAGATGAAAGTAAAGTGGTTCTTTGAATTTTGCTAACGATTAAAATGCCGTGCTCGCCTAATCCACTTCGGTAACGAAATATCTCTCTCAAAGCGGAATTCCTCAGTTTTTCGCGGATGCGCCGACGATAAAAATTATAGCTCTCTCTTTGCGCGTTGTTTTGGAAACAATGTTTTTGATGTTTCGGATGCTTTTGTGCGAAAAAATCCAGACTCTCCGATTTTTGCATGCGTTTTCCATCTCTTCTCTTCGTTCTATTTCTATCAGGCGTATTGACTTTTTATTTTCTTGTTGCAGGTACTTTACTGCTCGGGCTCTTACTGAATCGGAATTAGGGAAATTGAGAAGCGCGTCCATTAGATTTATTATTGCACCGAGGACAATCAGATTAAAGCGCCCTTGGGTGAGTCAACCCTCCTGCTAATGGTAAATTGCGATTTATCAATGAAAACATCAATCTATAGTGCACCTAAATCTCCGGATGCCATTCAAAAAGGACTTTCAGCGTCCTTTGAATTTTGACGAGGAAACTTCGAAAGCTCTTTGACGTTTAGGGAGGGAAATTGTACTTATGTTAGAAAGCTGACTAACCATAAATTTGAATAAAACAGGTTTGTACATGCGCCTATTTTTCACAATGCATTTTATCGCATGCACTTTAATTACTTCACAATTGATTCTTCTATCCCTTCGAAATCTTTCTAAAATATTAGCGAAGGGCGGCATTTGCCGTTTTCATCCCCATTGAAATTTATTCAAAGCGACTTTTGCTTTGTGAATCCTCCTCCACCATTCCAAAGATGTCCCGTTTACTTTGATTAATTTAATTTATAAACAACATAAGGGGGGACCTCTAATTCAATCGAAACGACGAATCGATCACTACGAGGGCGCACGAAATATTATTTATTAGCTGCCCAATTATACCTCGCGAAAATACGAGTACATACAAATATTAATTTTATTAATACTCCCCCAATCACTCCGCAAGGATTACCGGCACGTTTACTGCGCTTTTCCCCCGCTCAAAAACACCCTGTAGTTTCAACACACTCCCCGCACTTCTCGCAGACATATTTATCCCACCGATATTCATCCCTCGAAAAGCCCAGATGAAGGGTCTATTGTACTCGATTCGCGAAAATAATCTTACAATTCGACTTCTATGTAAAATAACACTGATGTGTGACACTAAATCTCAACAACATGAATAATATTACGTATATTGAACTACTTCTTATTATTTAATAATATATTAGAACTGTCCAGAATAATTTATGATTGTCCAGAATTACTTAGAACTGTTCAGAATCGTTTAGAATTGTCCAGTACAATTTAGGACTGTCGAGAACGATTTAGTGCTGTCTAAAATCATGCGTCATGCAATAGAATTAGAGTGAATTATTGTATAAAAAAATTGTGTACTTTCGCTTTCGATTTAAAGCGAACAAGAATCGGTACAAGTGCAACTACCCTTGCGCCCTTCTAATCAGCTGTGACGCGGCGCGAGAAAGAGCGCGAGCCAGGCCGAGCGTCCAGACCGTGCACGTCTGAGTCACCGTCCCCGTGCCGGCCCCGGCCGCCCCGCGCCCACCCGCCGGCGCCCCGGCCCTAGCAGGGGCGACTCGGCACCCTTAGCCCTTCGTTCGCGGTGTCTAATCACTTTCGGTGTATGTGCCGCGTGTGCGAACGGAATTTGACTATGATCAGTGCGTCGAAGGGCTCGATCGGGCGCGGATTTTTCGCGGATTTTCGGCGGAAAATGGTGACAAACCGGCTGGTGTTGTTGTCGTGGATAGTGAGCACGTGGCGGGATCGATAGCCGCGACCGCTGTGGCGCCGGTTCCCGCTCAAGTAGATGTTTCTAAACGTTTTGTTTTGTTGGATGCGATTCCACTAAAAACCTTGTATGTAACTTTATACGTGCGTTTCCAGCGGGTTATACGCGATGTGCGGTGATGATTGAGGTTAGGAAATCTCCGCCAGACGTCGGCGTCGGGGCGAGCGTCGTTTGAAGAAAGCGCACTTGCTAGACTCTAAACTGTGGGTCGTCGCTATAGCAACGAGCACGCCGGTTTCCAGCGCTCTATTTCACCATAACCCCACTTTAACTTTACCATTTGCACTATCGTTTCCAATTCGCGAAACTTTCCTTACACCGAACTTGTGCATTAAACTCGCGAAAAAGTAGCGAAAGTTTAATTCCCATTCGCTGTACTGCCGCGGGAGTATCCTTCCATTCGCCCTGAACATGAAATCCTCCGAGCGTTCGAAGGACCTGTCGAACTACCACCAGGAGAAATCGCTGAGTCCGCTGTGCATGCCCGATTTGCCGCTGCCCACGCCGCCGCCGATGGCCAATATTATGATGACGTCGCGGTTCGACCTGCAGACGAGGGGCGGCTGCGGCTACAGGCGCATCCTGAGCTCGAGGAGCGCCGAGTTCCGGTCGCCGCTGCTGGGCCGGGCGAATTTCGCGCAATGCTTCGAAGGCAAGGGCTTCGCGGAGGCGTCGCCGCCGCCGCTGCCGCGCCACCGGAACCTCGAGGACCTGTCGGCGAATCTCGACGGCTTCGCCGACGGCAAGGCGGAGTTGGCGGGCTCGAGGAGCAAGTACCTGTCGAGGGATTCGGTGCTGTCCGAGGAGCTGGAGGAGGTGCAGATGATATCCAGGGAGATTTCGTGCAAGTTCAACCGGGAATTGTCGCCCGAGTACCAGAGCGTGTTTTATAACGACCATTATATATCCGATATCGACGAGAACGAGGAGATCAAGGAGTTCCTTTGCGGATATAAAACGCCCGAACGACGTTTATCGGATCATTCCGATCGGACTTATTGCGATAAAAGTTACACGAATACGAGCACACTGCCCGCCTCTTTTTCGTATAAAACCAACAAAAAATACGGACACGTGAATAGTGCGATAAGTTCCAATTATTACATACCTAGTCCTGTACCAATAAGAAGTACTGCGGTATTCGATGATTCACACGCAACTGTGTTCAAAAATCCCCAGAAAACCATCGTAAAAATCGCCAAAATCAGGTTAGTTTTTTTTTCGGTTAGTCCAATCAATATCTATTGTAGAAGCTTCCCCAACGCCGGGGTTGATTTGCTAGTAGGTTAGAAGGGTGATTTTCGTTGAGTAGGGTAGTGACTTTTCAATTGAATTTGATTCGTTCGAAATACGATTAACGATCCTCTCAAGAATTAAAAGCAACTGTCTAATCGATAAGAAATCATTATGAGAGCCTTTTCGTATGAATTATTCTATTAATACCACATCTAGGGACCGTGGCTTAATTGCTTCAACCTACTTGAATGCCAGAATACGATGGAATTCATCCGAACAAAGTGCATTTATGTATTTATAATTGCCCGCACATGTTTCCTATCAGTGTCATCCAGCAGGATGCGGGTTTTTTTTCTCAAATCGTACGAATAATTTACACGAATTCAATGAGATTTATTTACGAGCGGCCGAATTAACGATTTTTTTGTGGCTCCCCGCGAGCCGTCTCGGGCCCGACCCTGCTATCTCGTTTCGTATGCGGACGTCAATCTCTGATGCATTATGTAAGTTGGTAGACTTGTTTCGAATTGACTTCGCCGTGGAAATTGGAAAGATGAAACTTCGCCGAGCCGCCGGGAGAGCGCTCGCCCGGCGTCCCGACAAAGGAAATTCATTTAGCTATGGAAATTTCGGGACGAATTCCTCGGCGATTCCGCTCCTCGGAATCCATATCGGAAAATTCAATTCGACGGCCGTATATTTTCCCGACGAGCTCCTACAGAGTGTCTTATTGCGCAAATATTACCACGAAATCTATGAAAATCATTTTCATTCAAATCTAATTTCATGTGGGTATTTATTTTGTGCAAGATGTTTTTGTACTGATGCTCAATTTATTTCTGTTTGCTAACCTTTTGAGCTACTTTCGGATGGGATCGAGCGCAAATCTGCTTTGGTCGGCTGAGGTTTGGTGCCGGTTTAACCCGAGCCTTAGTTGAAACGGACCCGCAGGAGAGTTTCGGAGTTTTGTTTGAATTACAAGTTAATTACGCAGCAGTTGATTTAAAATGGACGAAAGCTTCGAATTAGGTTCTCCGTTTAATTGAGATACATCCAGTTGATGGTTGTTGTAATTCCGCTTTGAACTTCATGAAGCTTTTTTTGTGTAATAATTTTTGCATAGTTCATGTGTTGGTTTCTTGTAGAGTGAAATAACTCATTTTATCGCCTCTGGATCTGCTGTAATGGACTGCGAACGTTATTATTTTAATAAAAACGAAAACGTTGTGCGTTGTAATTTTTTAATCGCGGTGGAACGGCCTCTTAAAGTTTATACAAACGTGAGCCCGGTTGATAATTCCGCTCGAACTAGACCGGAAAAAATGAACGTTTCTCATGATTTATATATCGCGATTTCCATTAAGATGTAAGTTACGTTATAGAACGACTGTAACATAGTTTTTAACGTACGTTTGACTAGATGGCGCTCGTAAAACAGGAAAATTTCTTCATTAAATCAAACGAAACCACTACATAAATATTTTTTATCTGCCGTTGCTACCAAGCATTCGCGGCGGATTTATTTGAATAGCACTATTACGAATCGTATTTTTGCAATACTTTTGTACCATTCGCATTTTTATTAATATATTTTCTTTCGGTATTCTCTCGAGATGCATAAAAAACGCGCGCGTTCCGGAAAAATTATACGAACCCGCCCGGCTCTAAAACGTTTCTATTTATTCGACGTGTATCCGTTCGGCTCTTCCGGAAAAGAAAAACTCCCATATAGAAAATCTCCGCCGAACGTTCGCTGGAAATTGATCCACAAATGCTCCAATAATGGACGTGATAAGAATCAAAAATTCGGGATCGTTTAAGAGGGATCGACGCCGGTTATTGTCTCCGTTTTCTGCCCGTCTTCCCGTTTCTTCCTTGTTTGTTGGGGATGTACACATTCGATCCGGGATATTAAATTTTTGTATTCGACGTGCATTAAATGCGGAGACCTCTGCGACTTTTCTTATTGCTCGAATATTTCATCCGGAAAGAAAAAGTTCGCAAAAAAATATCCGAACTTTTGTCTAGGTATTTTATTTCGTTGTTGCTCGGTGTACGTTCGATGGGCAGATGAAAGATATAACGAGGATGAAATTCCTCGCTGTATACAACGAAATATTTTATAAAGAAATCCTCCGGTTGATCGTGCGACGCTTCAACGTTTCATTATATAGTCGAAAGTCAACGACACATCTAGCAAGTTTTTATAAGGTAAAGGCAACGACGCGCTCCGCTCTTCTCCCAATTCTATTAATATCTTCGCCTCGTCGTCGCTTTTAATTGCCATCCATCTCTTTTCGCAGCGAACGAAAAGGCGAATTGAATATGTAAATAGGGCCGCTTCGCAAATAATTTAACTTCATTAGATATACCGGGCTTAGGCTCCGCCGCCCCCGCTCCGCGCCGCTTCCGGTCGCGTCTGTTTCGGGATATTCCGACGGCCGGCCGGCCGGAATTATCCAAAGCCCCCCCGTGCAAAATACATTGTACAAACTACAATAGAGTTTTGCGTAATTTAATAGTTAATTGCTGCCTAGATAAAGGGAGCTTTCGCAAACGATTTAAACGGCCGGTTAGAGCCGGGGAGTGAATTAAAATAGGGAGGAATTGTTACTTCTACTAAATCGTTCTGTAACATTTTTAACGTTGTCGTCGGTAATTAAGTTAATTAGGTATTCCATTAGGTTTTTTTTTGTTTGATTAATGTTGTCAGGTGTGTGTTTTGTGCGTTTGAATGCTCTCACGCCATTCAACGATATTCGCTTTTTGTATTGTAAATGTGAAACAGCTTATATTCATAATAGAAATAATTTATCCTACACAGTACTTATTAACTATGTGTATGAATATAAATTGGACGCCAAAAGGAGTAGAGATTTTAATTCTATAGGTTAATTGGACGCCACAATTTCTCTACCTTCTCTATTATATAGAGTATGGAGTAACGATCGCGATAAAGCATCTCTATAAATAATTTATTGTCGATATATTATTCACAGGCGATCAGTAAATCCACTTGGCGAATCGATTGTATACCTCTACTCTCCACGTTCCCTCGCGCGATCTTACATCTTACATCTTCCTCGACAATCCCCAGTAACCTAAAGCGGACTAAGAGCGATTTTCTGCGGATACTTCGGCTGGTAGGGATTGTTGAGCAACAGCCACTCGGCCAGCGACACCACCGGATCGATGGGCTTCGTCTTCACGATCTCCGCCAGCCCTTCCATCAGCACCGGCGTCACCCAGTTGTTCACGTAGTCGGTGACCTTCTCCTCGTCGATGACGAGCGGCTCGAGGATGTTGCGCGGAAAGAAGTACCGGTTCTCCCACTTGGCCTCGTTCAGGTCCTCCGACGCGTGGATGATGTCCGGCACGTCGTTCTGGATGCCGAACCTGGTGCGCACGCTGTACGGGAAGAACCACTCCTCGCGGAGCAGGCTGTACGGGCCGATCATCGACTTCCACTTTTCGATGCTGTTCTTGCCGGCCAGCGAGAAGACGACGATGGGCGAGATGCTCATGGAGACGACCACGTGGGGAAACGACGGGCTGCCGTACTGCTTGGCGTAGATCTCGGAAACTTGCTCGGGCGTGAGGTGGATGGTGCGTTCGTGGAGGATCTTCAATCCGGCGTCGGTGATGGCTCTGACGACGACGTCTTTGTACTTGATTGAGCTGGGTTTCAGTATGGCTAAGGTCCTTTGGAGCTCCGCTTCCCTGCAGGATATCGACGATTCGGAGGAGCTGGCAGCATATTCGGCTGGTGGTATGGGAGGTAACGGCGGAGGTTGGAACTCGACGAATTGCTGATAGTACAAATCCCCTTCTAGCTCTGTGACGGTTCGTGTGGTGGCGGGGGATAGATAGTGGATGGTTCCTTTGGCTCGCGAGTCCTGGATGCTCGACGAGGTCCTGGAGCTCGTGGCGGCGCTGCGGCCGCTCCGGAAGCTGCTCAAGTTGTAATCGAAACCCGTTTTGATGGACGCCGCATGGAGAAGGCCTATTCGGTCCTTTTGAGACACTTGTATATCCGTCCTGTTGCTCATCGGGAATACGTAATTTTAAAAACACACAAAACTCGCATACAACGCGAACGACAACCGTCAAATTCGGTTATCGATTAGACGTTCCGAAAATTTCGAAGTTGGCACGCCTGGTTCGATTCGCGAAATTGATAACGAACGGGACCGCGTTCGAACTTAACCGGAACGCGTAAAATTTAACCTAACCCATAATAACCCCCGTTATTAATGTGGCGTTTCGAGAAAAGCGAACGCTAATAACCGACGTTAAAAATAACCCGTACGAGTCACGAGCGATCCATGGGACTCGAACCGTAAATGCCATCATCAGTGCAACGTCAATACTTCCATTTGGACCTCATATAATTTTCAACATTAAAGTTAAAGAGTCTCTTTAACTTGACAGTTTTACATTGTTGTTATGAAGTAACTATATGGACTTTGTCTACGTTAAAGAGACTCTCTAAACGATTGATTAGAGCGTTACAAAGGAACCATATAGAGTTCTTATTCCATTGTCTAAGTATTGCGAGTAGAAGAGTTTTGCGTGGTAACGCCACTGAGGCTTAAAAGTCCTTCTATCTGCGCTAATTACGCCGGAGAAAAATCCTCGAACTGGTTCGCGGATGATTTACGGTCACGTGACGAGAGAGAGGCCTCGACGTTTTTCCGAAACGCCATTGAATGAGAAGGCGGAATCCGTTGCGTTTACTCAGAAACTTCTGTCTATATATAATAATTGCCGCGATTTATACAAATTTGTCTATTATTCGACGCGAAACGCGCTCACGTAGTACGACATAATAAATTCTTCGTCTCTCCACATAACCATTTAAGCCCCGATTCGTTCGGGAACCCATCTGGTCGCAGGGCATTAAATCCGAGAGGGTTTCCGAACAAGTTTTTATTACCTCCGCCCGTTTCACCCCCAAAAAAAAACGCTTTATTCTATTCCGCATATCATATGTTCTCTCCCCTGACAAGGAGAATGCAACAACGAAACCACCCCTTCCGACGATGAACTCCTGTCACACATCCACTCCGCAACAGGGCGGGTGTTTACCGGAAGGGTAGCAATGCAAACCGCGAATTGCAACTAGCAATTCATTCCGAATTATTATCCACCACTCCGACGAGTTTATGCAGTGCGCGGGTTTATACGGTGATGTGAGAAACTTGATGATTTAGGGAAAAAATAGAGTGGAGGTAACCCTTCAGGAAAACCCGCCGCCGGTGGCCGCCATAAATCCCGGTTACGACGCAGGTGCCATCTGTGTACGTCTGATTAAAGTAGGCGTTAGGGAGCGAGAACTCAAAATCGCAGTCGAAAAATCTGAATGGGAATCGTTTCTGGGTATCCGGCGCGCGGAAAAATGGAAATCTCGAATTTACGAGCCCGCCCGGATTTTATACGTTTAGCTTTATCGGCGCGAGTGAATTATGAAGGACCATAAGTCTCGCGGGCGGTTTTGTGTCTATGGTTTCTCGCCCGGAAAGCGGATAAATAAGAGCCCGGTAATGCAGTATGTAGATTCGGATGATGCATAGTCGCGGAGAATTCCTCGATTCGTGCAGAAATAAACTGGAGTTTTGGGAAGTTTTCCTGGAGAGGCGAAACGTCAATTTTCGCAGTTAATAAGCCCAACAATAGACCTGCGAGGTCGAAAGTGAAAAGCGCGCCTTGATGATGAAAACACGTCTTAACTGGGAGCGCACGTTTCGTGCACGCCGCAAAATTTAATTTGTCTGGACGTGATCGAACTGCCGACGAGATATATGTATAGAGATGGACGAACGAAAACCCGCAAAAAGTTAACTAAGGAACTGGTTAATAAACCGTTACAGTTTATTTTGACTAAAGAAAGGATAAAACGTGCAGAAAAATTGCATCTGTATACGAATTTCTTATCCGACGCTGTACCTGCAGCTTGCCAACAATCATCCATTAGCTGGTAATTTATTATTATTCCGCATAATCGAAGCGACGATAAAAACGAACTTTCGCTCTAAAACAGCATTAAACGATGGAAAAAAAAACGATGCGAATTCTTATTGCAACGGTCTCCAGACGATGGTGGCACGTCAAGGAGAGCTTTTTTCTATCGTGCGGACAAATTAGTTTATGTCGTTGATTGAGAATGCCGTCGCACATCGGACGAATGTAAATTATCTCATTCAATCCACCCGGTGCGATTGAATTCGTATAAATCAAAAACGGACTGATTGGATTACGACGAACAATAACGCAATTAAACTTACATAAATAACGTCTCTATACAATCGTTGAAATGTATCATAAATCCACTTCTAGATGCTTAGAAAATGTATGTTATTTTACATTATTTTAATGCAACACTGCGTAGAGTGAAACTTAATTAATAAACGGCAATTTTTCTTTGCTAGACGTGCACAAAACCGAGCTAATATGTTACATGCGCCCACCGACATGTGTACAGCGTAAAGCAAATGTATCTTCTTGTTATCATTTTTTTTACTTATTTCTTGGTTTTTTTTTTTTTCAAAGAAATCATAAAGATAAATAGCTGCCATTTGTTGCAACACGGCCGCCGAAAATTCACGACACGTTTCTGCTGTAATTTATCGGCGTCTACGACATTCCTCGCAAGAAACAATCACGAAGGGACCCTTCCCGACTACTCCCGGGAAGGATATTTTGTATTGTTTCGTCGAAACCGGCGAACATTCAAAAATTAATAATATTTTTTGATGTGATCGAATCCTCGCTGTATAAAACCGGTACGCTATACTCGTAAAATCGCGTTTACTGTTCCAATACCGTTACGTTTTACGTTTTTTAATAACAATAACGTCTTTTATGCTAATGATTTTTTTTAATTAGTCGCGAGGTTAATTCGGGGGGTCGATTTAGCTCGAGAAATGCAGACCTTAGAATTGGATTATTTTCGATTTTATTTCACGAAATCGAGTGCAATAATAACGCGGATTTACGCGCAACAGCTGCCTTTATTTACTTGTTGGGATGTAAACATTTGCATGTTTTACACCGACGTGTGTGTATACACTAATTCGTGCGAGAGCGAAGAAAAATGCCCGGCTGTCGAGTAAAAGAGGAAGGAATTGTTGTTTCGTGGTGTTTTCACAAATGTCGGAGCATAAATTACTATCGGGGGTATTATTTTAAGCAGCAAAAAGCCCTATAAGAAATAAGAATGTAAATTATCGGCATAAATTGGTTCACTATAGCGAAAATCATTTTTATTATACCTGCTTGGTAATAAATTATAGCGAAATTTATAAGGCAATATAATTATCTATATATAGATAATTATAGTAAATTATTATAATTATATTGTATTATTGTATTATTGTAATTATTATTTTACTATAGTAAAATATTAATTACAATAATTAAAGTCGCTATGCATTATGTCTCAATCTACTGCAGCAAATTTTATAGTACTTAATCACATTTTAGTACTTTGTACAGGATACTTTATAATAAGATAACTTCAAGTATGCATCGGAAATATGTTTAATTCGGTACATTAAAAAAATTAATATCTGTTGAAAAAATATTAAACCATAAAACCACTATTGCTTATAACTTGTAACAGTACCAAAAAAAACCAGTAATAAGCGCATTGCCGCGGAAGATAAACCATAATGAAATTAAAAATACCGTAACAGATACCTCGGTAAATACCCGTTAAATCTTTTTACTCTATTGGGCGCATTATTATAATCGGTAATTGTTCGAGTCTCGAAAAAATATCGAAAAAAAAAACGAAATTAAAAGACGCTCGGAATTTCCGCTTGGGAAAAAATCGAACAGAAACCGAGCGGAACTCCAATAAATAGCCGCCTAACGGTACTTACTGGTATTATTTCAGAAAAAGTGTTAAAATCCCATTAAATAATTTTGTTCTAATAAGATAGGCGAGCTTCGGAAATTAACAGAATTTATGAGAACTTCGATTTGAAGAATTTTTGAAGCCTTTATAATTAAAACGCTTTTTAAAGGAATGTAAAATTCTTCTACGTGCCCATAATTCTTTTAAATGCGCTTATAAATAACCTTAATGAGACTCCACTCCCATTTAACGAGATTAAAACACTTTCTAATAGACCCACGAATATTCCACTGAATCGAATCCCATTTAACAACCATTTAGTAGAAATTTTTATTGTAAATAAATGCGCGACTTCTGAGCCAGTCCCTCCCTGTTCGCTGTATGCGAGATATGGAAATAAACGTAACGTCAATTCGAAAGACAGGTTCATCCTGTTTATTCAGTGGAAGTTAAAACCAGTATCCGAAACAAGGATGTTTGTAAACGAAGACCAGAAGCGGCGGAAAAAATCCACCAAATCGGCATTCCGAATTTCAATTGTGTACATTTCGAGCTGCTCTTGCAGTTCGCAAAAAACCCCGAGAGCCGTATTCAGAAATATTCCAGGAGAACGACTCGCGAGCGCCCGTCTCGCCGCCGCAACGGAAGAATATTTCACGATATATATTTAGATCAAAGAGGCTCCATTTAAAAAGCAACGACGTTTCGAGTTTTTAATAACCGTACAAGAAACGTTCCCGTCACTAATATTAAATATTAAGCGACGTTACGCACTACATAGGAAGCCTTTTAGTAAATGAGGTGTATAATAGAATTTTGTTTTTACTGATGCTGACTCGGAGAGCTCTAAGAGAAATTAAGAATTCTCTTTTTTGCATCAAAGCGAGCGCGAATCGAATCGTATACGCAAACCCATCGCGATAATAAAAATCCGAATCGCCCACATCGCGCTAATAATCCCCATAAAAACGAAAACGATACGCGGGATAACTTCCGAGATATGTGTAATAAGGAGACGGTCCTTTTTAATGCCCGTTTTATCGTCATTATTTCCAGGCGCAGATTTGTAAGGATCGTTCCGTCCGTAATCCTGTCAGCGAAACCGACACCGGTGGGCTCGTAAACATTGAAATATAAAGTTTATGTTCCGAATCTCTCTTATATGGAAACCGATACGAGTTACCTACTTGTTATTATCCGCAGGTTGTCGTGTTTAAATTTTAATGCGAGCTCGCGAAGGAAGATGCCAAGACGGAGTATGATGATTCTCGGTATGAGGGAATTGGTTTTTATTCGGGAGATACATTGATCAAAGGGAAGGAAGGAGGATTGTGGCGGGA